GGCTCCTCGGGCAGCACGCGCCGCTGCGCCGGCCCCGCCAACTCCACGCAGCTGGCGTCGCGCAGCGCCGGGGACCTGGTGCAGAGCCTCAAGCTCATGGGCCTGTGCCTGGGCTCGCAGCTGCACGGCGGCACCAAGTACATCCTGAGCCCGCAGCACGGCCTGTCCTTCTCCAGCGTCAAGGTCCAGGAGAAGTCCGCGTGGAAGATGTGCATCAGCTCGGCCGGCCACCCGGCGCCCGCGCCCGCGCCCGGCGGCCTCAAGTTCTTCTCCGACCACGTGGCGGGCAGCGCCGCGGGGCTAGAACGGATACAGAGCAAGAACCTGAAAAATAACGTGCTCCAGCTACCTCTGTGCGAAAAGACCATCTCTGTGAACATCCAGCGGAACCCCAAGGAGGGGCTGCTGTGCGCCTCCAGCCAGGCCACCTGCTGCCACGTCATTTGACTGGGCCGCGGCCACCGGCACGCTTCCTGCTCAGAGCGTGGAGCCCGGCTCCCTGCGCCCTTTCCTTTCGGTTTTCCTCTTTTGCAGCGGGCAGTTATTTATTGTTTCCCTGTGTCGCCCGGCGCTGAGACAATGCATGGTCGTTGTGCATGCTGCTGCTAGACACCGCCTTTCTGTCCCAGCCGAAAAGTCAGTCTCTGTGTCACTTTCACATTCATAATTTTAGTGTGATCAGGATTAAATTAAAATGTATATTTGGAACACTTAAAATGTATAAATGGAGCACTTAAAAATTTAATGTTCCGCACTTAACCTAGACCGAGAAAAAATGCTTTTGTTTCCTTGTTGAAAAACCTAAATTCCTGTCCTGACCTTCTGTGGCACGGAGACTCCGTGCTCTGAGGACACACTGGTGTCCGTGACAGAACCAAAGCAATAACGGTGTGACCCGACAGGCCTGGAGCCCGCGGACGTGCCCGCCAGCCTGCCGAGGCCGCGCCGGGCAGAGCACAGCCGGCGTCTGCGCTGAAACCCTAAGCCGCGATTTCAACGTACCCACACCTGTTTGTCTTAAGCTATAGTGTGAGGGAAAGTTTGGGCTCTTAAAGTTTAACTGGAAGAGATTTCCTTGTTTTGTAATAGGTGAGATAAAGTACTTAGATTTGTAAGGCAGCTCCCCCTGTAGTGGTAAATTACAAGCAGACAATCTTATTTTGTAATGTGATAAAGTGAACTGATGACGTCTTAACTCTACTATCGAGTGTATGTCTGTTTAACAGAACAAAGTGATGCTCGGTGTAAACTCCTTCCTGTGGGGCACAGCCCAGGGTTTCCTTCAAAACCGTGTAGATAGAAGAAACCATAGGGCCTGATACAGAAGCAAAGGTGCGCACAGAGGTTGGCAAAGTCAGAACCCCTAAATTAAAAAAACAGAAACCACCCATATATATATATACACACATGGATTGATTTTTATGAGTTCGGTAATTAGGTTGTCTCTCTTGTTAGTTCCATTTTACATCTTTTTTAGCTCAATTAGCTATGAAAATTGGCTGACCCAAAAATTCACATAAAAGGGTAGAATCCACACATACAGCAAGCAAAAATGCACAAAGCCTGCTCCATTCTTGTTTTGGGGGTGTTTTTTTGTTGTTGCTGGAAGCTTTTTTCACTTTGCCTTCCTGCCAAAACAGTAATCAAGAACTCTTGCTTTAAACTGTTCCTGTACAAAGACTCCTTTTGACCAGATAGTCATCTTTCATGACGTTTTATCTGTAGGACACAGTATATTGGAAATCACTGGTTGGAAGGGGCCAGATGCTACTTTTCTTTGCTGGGCCCTGGGGATCCAAAAGGCAATGCTTAGCCACATTGGTGATATGAGGTGGCTGGGCCCGGGGCCTTCCCACACCCATCAGCCTCCAGTGGTGTCCCTGAAGTGGCAGTGTCCTGGCACTGCAGTGGCAGAGCACCATGGACGGCATTCCGTTGGTCATGGTTTCTCCAAGTATACACTGATCTTGCTCCTTTAGTGTTCACATATTTTACTCAGAACTCGGAATTTCACTGTATACTTACTAGACTAAGTAAAGATGATACTTCAACTACTTTTACTTTCTAGACCTAGGCTAGATATGTTTTAAGCTATAGCTCTAGTTCATTGTGATATTTATAAAATTGAAAGCTATGAGACTAGGTGTGTGGGTGAAGCCATAGAACACATTTGCTTGAAATTCTTGAGCAGGGATCTTATAAAGGGCCAGAAATAAGATGTGTGGTTCACATAGACCGTGAGCGTAACATCTGTATTAAACGTAGGAGAGAAGTTTATAAAGGGCATTGGCAATAAACTCTTTGTTGCAGCTGTTTTCCAAGTAATGTAAATACTTTTTCCTGTGATTATGTATAGCCTTGGAATGGCACCTTTTAACCCACATGTGTTTGGTTTTCAATGGTTTTTTTTAATATTCAGATGTATATATGGTGCTCACTTTAGATCAGCAGTGTTGACCATTTATGCTGCATAGCTGTATCATAGCCTTATTAGTTGTGTGTGGTTGGTTGGCCCTCTGGGCACACAGATGTCAGTCTGAGTGGTGTCTCACTCGTTCCTAGGTGAATGACTGTGCATGTGTTGTATGTCATAGTATGTTGTCCCATAAACGGAAGGGAGCGAGTAACCATTACATTAAGATAATATTGGACCAAACTATTTACCTGCTCTAACCAGTTTCTCGTACCCCTTAACCTGTCTTCAGAAGTTGCATAGAGTTACAGTAGTGTGTAAATTAAATATTGTGGACAATTAGTCTTGTATTTTTCTGTATGTGTGTGTGTATATATATATACATATATGTGTATATATATAAAAAATATGTACTTCTGACAATTCTATCTGTATTTAAAGATGTGACAATCTTGACACTGATTTTAAGAGTAGCCGTGAGACTGAATCAAATTAAAGGGATTTCTACCACGTGAGAATCGACGTGTGTTAAGAGGGTACAGAATTATCAGCCGATTTGGCCAGTTGCTTCCACTGCTGGTTGATTTTCCTCATTGTGTAAACATTGACAGGTATGTGACAAATGGGAAAGAATCCAAATAAAAAAGTGGCATATTGGTGTTCAGCAATATAAATCGCGTCCCATGTTGTTTCTTCTCGGAACGCAGCCTGTGTGCAGCCCAGGCCTGGGCCCTGCCTTGCTCCCGACTCAGCAGCAGGCCTGCCGCGTGCTTGAACCCCGTGGGCACAGCCCCGGGTGGGCCCACTGCCCGGGAATTACACTTTATTTCCCGGTCATCTGCTCTCCTCACTCGCCGGTCACCACGCTCCCTAAAGAAGCCATTGGACCTGCCGCTTTCGTGTGTCCACAGCCCCGCCCGTCCCAGCGCGGGCTCAGGCGGCAGCCACGAGGACGGGTCCTTCTCTGTCCGCCAGACCATTGCTCACGGCACACAAATCCAACATGATCCTACCTCCTACCTTTCTCTAGCTGTGCCACGTGGCTGTTCTTTTCACTCTCAAGCCTTCCAATCAGGGTTTTGCTGCAATCACCCAACCAAAAGTCCGTTTTATTCAAGGTCAGCAAGGACCTCCATCGGCCAATTCCAGATGTCAGTTTTTAAGAACATATAATCCACATACCCCTAATTGAATTGTGTATTAAATGGTACAATTCAGTAGATTCTCAGTTGTGCGACCATTAACATACCCCCCCAAATCTTATGCCCCTTAGCACATTCTGCCTTTCTCACGCCCCATCCCAGCCTCAGCGCCGCGCAGCCACTAATCCAGTGCTCAGTTTCAAACCCACGTTAGCGTTCCATGAGTTGGTCCCTTCCCTGCGAACTCCCATCGTCCAGGACCGGTCGGCCTTGCTGCTCTTCAGTGCACTCGCTTCCCGTTCTAACCTCCGATCTTGAGATACCCCGAGGTTCAGTTCTGGATCCCTGTTCTCTCCACACTCAGTCTGGATCCCGTGAAGTCGAACATCTATAGGTAGAACCCAAACAGGTTTACCTCACACTTCTCCCAGGATCGCCAGATTCCAGCTTCTATTTGACTCTGCTACTTGGATGAGTCTAGTAAGCACCTTAATTTTTGCAAAGTCCAGAACTCCTGCTAATCTTCCCCCTCAAATCCTTACCCTCCTAATGCTCCCCATCTTGTAAATGGCAGCTCTAAACCTTCATTAGTTTTGCACAAACCAAAAATCTTGGTGTCCTTTACTTTCGTCCCAGCATCCCACCCGCCATCAACAAGTATTAGTCACCATTCAAACATTGGCCCCTTATTGCCTCACTATTAATGTTCTGGTCCCTGACACCACCGTCACTCCTCTGGACAACTGTAAATGCCTCTTAACGGGCCTTGCTTCTGCTCATTTCCTTTGGTCTGTTCTCCATGCAGCAGCGTTCGTGATCCCTTTGAAAGCTGGATCATGTCATGTTTTGAAAGATGTTTGATTTCCAAATAGTTGGGATTTTCCACATAAGTTTCTGTTCTCGATTTCTAGTTTAATTGTGCTGTGGTCAGAAGTCATGCTTTGTAAATTTTAATTCTTTTTAAACTTATTGAGCTTGTTCTCGGATCCAGCCACTGTCCTATGCTGGTGAATGTTTTCATGAATGCTTGAGAAGTGCTGTCGCTGGTCAAGGGTTCTCTATGTCAATTAGTTCAAGTTGATTGATGAAGTTGTTCCAAGTCTTCTATATCCTTACTGATTGTTTCCTATCAATTACGGAGAAAGGAGCGCAGAAATCCAGCTATAATTGTGGATTTGCCTACTTCTTTGGTTCTGTCAGTTTTGCTGCATGAAATTTGAAGCTGTTGCTAAGTACATGCACATTTAAGACTGTTGCGTTTTCTTGACGAATCAACCCCTCTTCACTGTTATGAGATGTTCCTCCCCATCCCTGGTAAGTTCTTCTTTGTCCTGAAATCTACTTGGTGTGATATTAATATAGCGGCTGTAGCTGTCTTCAACTTGTGGGAGTATATCCTTTATCCATGTTTTTACTTTTAACCCATCCGTCTTTATATTTAAAGTAGGTTTTTTTGTTTGTAGACAGCATATAGTTGGGTCTTACTTTTTTCCTACCCAATCTGCAAATCTTTTTCTTTTATTTGGAGTGCTTGGACCAGTTACAGTTAGTGTAATTATGAACATGGTTGAGTTTAAATCTACCGTCTTTCTAGTTGTTTTCTATTTCTCTCACCTATTCTTCGATTCTTCTTCTTGCTTTTACTACCTTCTTTTGGGTTAACTTGGCCCTTTTTATTGGCTTATTGGTTGTGCCCCTTTCTTTCGTAGTGGCTGCTGTAGGGAAGATGTGTGTATTCACAGCCTGGCACTGCTTCGTGTAGAATGTAATGACCTTACAACTATACTTCCACTTTCCTCCTGCTCTTCCTGCTGCTGTGACATATTTTGTTTTTACATATTCATACATGTTTTAAATAGTTTTATTTTTTAGGAGATGAAGCATGAGGGGGAGCCTTTTTACCTACATCTTTAGCATTCACAGCACCCTCCATTCCTTTGGGTACATCCTCATGTTTCCCTTCTGCCTGTGGAACTTTTAAAATTTTTTTCACAGTGCAGGTCAGCTGACAATACATGTTCAGCTTTGCTTGTCTGAAAAAATTTATTGATGGACATTTTCACTGGGTTCAGAATTCTAGGTAGGCAACTGTTTTTTTTATTGCAGTGCTGGACACTGGACTTTACGTTGTTGAGTGCTGGGTTTTCTACTTGTGTAAAAAGTGTAGGGCTTTGTTCTGGCCTCTAGTTACCTGGAATCAGCTGGCTCCTTTGGGCTTGGCTTTAAAGCGGCAGGATAGATCCGGGGCAGCCTTTGGGCTCATTTGGCCACCACCACGGCAGGGCCCTTCCACTCCGGCTGGTGGGGGCCTGAGCGGCTCCCGCTTTGCGGCTCTAAGCACCGAGCCTCCGCTCTCCAGGGGCTTTCTCCAGCCCCAGGCCGTTTCCTGCACTCAGACTGCGTGTTTGCCGAGCCGCTCACTCTCGGCAGCTGGTGCCAGCTTCTGCCTCGTGCCCTGGGGTTGGGAGGGGCAGAGGTCGCCTTAAGTGGCTCTGAGCCAGGCAGCGAAGTGGAGGGAGGGCGGCTTCGCGTCTGCGCCTCCGAGCGGCCCCTGGTCAGTGAGCACTGCTCCAGGATCCAGCGGCTCTTCGATGGGATGACTCAGCTGCAGGCCTGTGCCTGTTGGAGACGGGGGAGGGGGGCAGCAGGCCCGGACTCCCCCAGCTCTGCCCTTTCTGCCGCCTCCTGCCTGGGCCTCAGCAATGGGGAGACAGCCGTGCCGACACTTTGGGCTGTTTCCCCTTCCTCCGAGGAGGTTCACAGCACTGTAAAAGGGAGGCCATGATTTCTGTGAGCCACTTGGCAACATCTGTGCCACAGGCTCAAGGAAAACTGCCATCATTCCTCCCCCACACTTTGTAATCCATCATGAGACCCACACACCAAGGGCCAAAGGACTACGGAGGGCACCCTCTCTAGTGCATGAGGCCAGGGTATGGGGTGGGGGGGACAGCACTGCCCTGATGTCTCCCAGAATCCAGTCAAGATGAGGACAATAAGGTGTGGCCGCCTTGTTCCCTCCCACCCCTGCTCCTGAGCATCTCCTACAAGCTACATGCCACCCACTCAGGTGCTGGGACAAAGAGAACCGTTGGCCCAGCAGATCTATGTAGCATCCCCTTCCTGCTGGCTTTCCTGTGGGCACAACCTGACCAGTCCCCCCATACCCATCTCCTCCACCCTGTGGCTGGCCCAGTGGAGGTGGTCCCCGTGCATCCAGGCCAACCTCGGGTCCCACCTTCCCTGGGCATGACTGGCTGAGTCCTGGTTAAGTGTGTGGTTCGTTCACCTGGTCACTCAGGAAGGGCAGAGGGAAGCGCTGGGCATGAAAGTCACAGCGCAGGGAACCCGGGGTCTGTGCTGGCACCTCATGGGCGAGGAGGGCCCCCTGGAGAGAGGCTACCAGCCTTGAGACAGCTGTGAGCCCTCGGGCAAGGAGAGGAGCTGATAGGGTTCACACCCAGAGCCACCCCCTCGCACTCCTGTATTCATGTGACGGGGAGACAGGCGGAGCGGGGTCGAGGGCCCCGCCTGAACACAGGCCCCAGGCTGGGCCTCGAGGAAGCTCCTGGCTCAGGACCAGTGGCAGGGACCACTCACAGTGTGTGTAAGGCACGAGCAAGTTCTAGAAAGCACTTGTCCAGCCTCGAGCAACCACTGAATGCGCACGTGGGCCTTGGGCACCTCAGACCAAGCAGGGGTGGGCATGCTGGCACGCGCAGCGGTCTGGCAGCATCTACTGGACAAAACTGGACACCCAAGAGTGGCAAGTAGGGGATGGAGGGTGGGGATGGGGGCTCCCAAGACTGATGCTTGAATGGGCCTCTGAAGCCACCCCTTCCTGATGGGGAGGGAATCCAGGGTCACCCAGGTGGCCGAGGCACCCACAGCTTTCTGAGTGGAAGTGCCCACTGTCCTCGTGTCCGGATATGAGAGACATGGGCCCTGGAGGGGGGAGCTGTTTCCCGAGGCGGGATCTGTACAGCTGGAGAAAGGAGCCAGGTCCTGCCCTCCCAGGCGGCCCTGGTGACTAGACCACAGGTGTGAGCAGCAGGCTCCAGTCGCTGCCTTGTGTCTGGAGGGCCACGGGCAGTTAGGGGGGCACAGCATCCCTGGCCCCTCCCCTCTGGTGTCAGCCAGGCAGGGTGCCAGGTGTGGCAGCTGGCCCTCGGCCTGGCACCCTGTGCATGGAAGCAGCCCCCATGGCCCTTGCCAGGCTCCAGCAGTAGCAGAACCTCCTGAGACCCACCCGAGCTCCCGCCGCAGGCCTGGGAAGTAGCACCAGGTGCCCAGCCCCATGCTCAGCTCCCCACCTCGGCGCCACCGAGTGACCTGCCCCCAAGCTCCTCCCAGAACCCAGTGGGCCATCTCAGTGCACACGTGGGAAGGAGTTGGAGAGGTACATGGTGCCTTTAATAGCTCAGTTTCTATTGCTTTGGCTGATAACGTGTCTTAACTTGTTGCCAAGTAGAACCGGGAAGAGGTAAGTTGTCGGGTTCTGGAGAACTGCCTCTTGTGCACCCCTCACTCTAAACTGAGGCTGGCAGAAGCCCCCTTCAGAATGGCTTTCACCCCGCCCGCCACCCTACCCCACGGATCCGGGGGTGCTGGTGGGGTGGGGTGACTGTCACCATGAGGGGCACCATGGAGAGCTGGTGGCCCATACCCACGAGCCACTCAGGGCAGCAGTGGCTCTGGAGGGAGGTCAGGCATGTGGAGTGGAGTGGAGTGGAGTGGAGTGGAGTGGAGTGGAGTGGAGTGTGGGGCTTGGGCAGAAACCAGGGGGACAGAGTGGGGAGTTGCCAGGAGGGGGTCCTGGTCGCCCTCTTCCCTCCCTGAGCTGAGACGCTGCAGAGGGAGGAGGTGGGTGCCTGCCACGGGGCAGCTGCTTCATTTGGCTGAGCCTTGGGTCTGGGTTTGAAGCCGCGATGCTGTGACCCACTCCTGGTGCCCCTCTGCCTGCACTCAGGTCGCCATCCCCTTCCCTTCTTCCTTCAGGTTCTCGGCCACAAGCTTCATCTGCTGTTGAGAGAAGAGAGGACACTGGGTGAGCCCTGCAAGCCCAAGTGGTGGTATCTCTGTGGTGGCACCTCCGTGGTGGCAGGGGCTCCCACAGCCCTATTTGTTGAATAAATGAATAGCTACTCTGGAATTTCGCTTAAAAGACACGCAGAGATTTCTGATAACTATTTATGGGGAAAAACAAAACTGAGACAAACACTGCTGGTGCCCTGGGTACCTGGCTGCCCCCCTTGGGAGCCCACCTGCCACATGGCACTGGACACAGCACCCGGCTCCCTCGCTCTCAGGGGGAGGAGGCCCTTCCACAGGCTGAATCAAGTGCCTCAGCCCCCTCTTCACCCCCACCCCCCTCTCGGATGATCCCACTTCGCGGGGACAGCTCTCATCTTTCTGAACCTGCTCTGTCTCCCACAGGGTGATGCAGATAGGCTCCTGGAGGCTGACCCCCTCCACCTGGGTTGAGGGGACTGCTTGGCCCTCACGCGCCCACATGAAAGCAGGGTTCAGGGGATGGCTTTTGATGGGGAAGGGGAGAGGGGTCATGGTGCGCAGTCTGCAGGCGGGGGCAGCATTTCCGCAGGCCTCGAGCAGCTCCTCAGTGGGTGGTGGACGGGATCCTGATGACGGGCTCTCTCCCCTGCACCACCCGGCCCTAAGTGACTTCAGTGTCACTTTTTGGAGATACTCCCTCTCTCAGGCCCCAAGTTGGGGGGGTGGGTCACCAGGCCAGGCTGTGGGCCCCAGATGAGCAGGGGGGAATCCAGCCGCGCTGGCCCTGGGCACCAGGCAGCCTCCTGCACGTCAGCTCTTTGGCGCTTCTCTTTAGCTACCCTGCCTGGGGGTCTTGTCCCCTTTAAAAGAAACCTGGCTTCTTTGGGATCCTTAAATGAAAACCTCATTAAACACAAGCAGGATAACAGTGCTACATCTTTCCTACAAAAAGCATTAGATGGAGGAAGAAATCTCCAACTTGTGACTCATTGAGCGCTCATGTTCCAAATCACGCTAAGCAGCAGGCTGGGGTTTGCATCATTGTTAGTGATGATTATAATAGGAACCTGATCACTGTGTTGGCCAGGGCGCAGCTGAACCTGAGAAAATGGGTAACTACCCCTCTCCCAGTGGAGAAAAGTCCAGAAATGGTTTCTGAGACCTGCAATGCTTCCCCCGCAAGCTGGGGCAGACCCTCCCTGGGCCACAACCAGCACTGGGATCCTCTATGCACAGCACCCAGGAAATCCCAACCAGTTGATTTGGTTGGGATTACCCAATTTGAGATGTTAGCAACTACTACCCCTCCCCCCACAAAGCAACAACGACCTACAGAAGGTCTCCATCTGGAAGGACGGAGCCTGTGCCTTCCTCTCACTGCGCGCTGGAGGCCTCGCCGGCGCAGCTGGCTCTCCCAGTGGCTGGATGGAGCCCAGCTGGCCTCTCGGGCCCGACTGTCCCGGGCACCAGCTCAAACAGGAATTGGCTTCTTCAGTTTCAGCGTCAGCACCTGGGGGCTGGGGCTTGCCCCCCGCCCATCCTGCTAGGCTCAGGTGCTTGGGCCTGCGGTCAGCAGCGCAATCCCTGTCCCTGCTTCCCCAGCCCCCTCCACTGATTTAATGGAAGGTGTGGCCTGGGCACCAGGGTTTTGCTGGCTTCTCCAGGTGATTCTAATTCTCAAAGGCAACCCTTTCTACAGCTCTGCCCCGAGGGGAGTGGGCCAGGAAGGGAGCAGATGGGAGCCTCCCTCCCACACTTCTGTGCCCATGCACCTGGCAGGCAGAGCAAGGCCTCCTGTCCGTGTCACTGACAAGGCTAAGCAACTCGTCTGAGGTCATGCAGCCAGAGTCAGGGCAAAAATCAGACGAGGGCCCAGCAATTTAGGTGAAAAAGAGAAGAGCAGGCCTTCTGAAGCTCCACATTCTGACCGAGACTACTTGTATTGGTTGGATCTAGAGGACTGTTAACCTCAAACAGCAATATTCTGAGCACATCCTAACATAATGATCCCAAACGCCAGCTCTGCCCTGGGCTGGCAATGCCATCGGAGATGCAGGTGGAGGGCAGGAGGGCAGAGCCGTCCCTCGGGCTGTCCTGGGAGGAGACAGCCATAGCCACAGCCTCTTCCTCTGGAAGGGTTGGCTGGTTCGTTTTAATATTTGACAGTGTAAAACTTGCTGACAACCAAATGTGCCGGTGCTGAACCCCACATCCCCACCCCGTGTCCCCATCTCAGGGGCCACTCTAACCTAGCCACTCAGACCAAAACCTCAGGGGTCACTGGTTACCTCTGCACCCCTACCTCCTGTCTTTCAGTCTGCTGCTGGGTCCTATCCCAGCCCACCCCACCCCAG